TTACGCGTTGGCACTTCGTTCAAAACTCATGCCTGTATTTATTCATACTTTAATTACATTACTGGAACACAATAACTCTTAACAATACGATTATAACAGAAACAGCGTATGGCAATATACTAGCATAGATTTCCCGAACGTTCGCCTCTAATTGTGAGTCCGATCGATTAAAGACATCACTGTGTGATATGATATAAGACATAATCGTCCCAATGGTGTCAAAGGTCCAAACTGTCGTTTCTCTCTATCGAATGGTCTGCTACTTTTTTCTGAACATATCTTATTATCTTTAAAGAGTCTATTCGCATTGTCTAAATTTCACCGTCCGGTTAAAATCACACGTTGATTGGTTACTTGTATAATCTAATGCTAAATAAAATCAATAGGAGCACAAGAAGGTGTCATATAAAATGAACACTTCAATGGCTGAATGTGTTTTCAACCAGACATCAAAAATCGGACGACGAAATCAGGCTAATGTAAAAAAAAATTCTTAACACTACATTTAAAAACCATAGGAAGAAAAGCGAGACTGACAATTTTAATGCAGAAATGAGCCATACTTCACCACAAAATAAGCAGAATTGTTTTTCATTAACTCGATATCTTAGCTGTATTTTTGTTGAAGCATAAAATGATATTAAAAGAGAATGTTTCCGAGGGATCTATATACTGTTAATTGAAACCGTTATCGTCAGAGTGATCAATTTCTAGCTTAATTTTACATTTATTCGATCTCCTACTGAAAATTTTAAATACCTCATCGTTCATTCTAATCAGATGGCAAAGAACACGCGATAGTAAATACTCTGCCGAATGGAATAAAGTACAAGCATCTTATCTCAAAGTTAATCATCCAAATTAATTTGTATCAGATAAATTACAGGAAGCTTTTTTACTTTACATTTAAATAGATTAGAAATCTTAATGTCTATACAAAGCTCTGGTTCCCTGAAATATATTTTTATCTAACATTTAGAAACAATACTTATCCACGTTCTGTCCTTCATAAATATATTTAAATTTAAATTAAATAAATGAATTAATTAAAACTATGATGAAAGTATCATGATTATAGGAAAAGTTTCGAGTTCGTTGTTCTAAAACTAGAGTAAATATTCTAATTTCTGTACACGTCACAATTCCTACTCACTGGCTTAAGATTACAGAAAGAAAAGCCAGTGAATAGAAATTGTGACATGAACAGAAATGGGGACATTTACTGTACGTATACTTCGTAGGAAAATTTCAGAAGTTGAATTGGCAACTCGATGTATTCGCGGCACGCATTCGCAAAAGTCTGATCAATCGTTATGCAAGAATGGCGCCGGAGGAACTCGCATTATTTAAATTAATTTCCTCGTTAGTTTTTGTATTAGGTATATGCCCATTGTATGTTTATGCCTCTCCATATAAAGATAAGCCTTCGTTATAAACGTTGCATTCTCTTATCGTCACGAATGCGGATGGTGTGCGATTTGCATTTGCAAAGATGATCCATCTCCTCTGCGATTATCGCAATTTAAAAATAGCCGACGAGGATTCAAATTGCTTCGATTTTGGCTTTGCTACTTAACTGCAATCGTTCTAACGAGGGGAATGTCTGTCACAGCGGGAATTTGTAAGCGAGGCGCGCAATAATTCTGTCAATTGATTTTATGAGCTCCAGTGAACCAGTTCTGAAAAGAAAAGGTAATAAACGTGTCTCAACGAGAAATTATAATTGTCATTGAATTGTTCGTTATTCCTATATTCTTATTTCTTGAACTACGTTCTGTATTTACTGGGTTAAATCAAAATCGATCATCAACAGTTCATCGTTTTTTCAATAGGATCTGTTTCACAATTTCGCATGCTAGATTTAACTGATATTACTACTTTGCGTAACAACCGAGTCAGTTGCTAAGAGTCAGTAAATTGTATGATTCGTTGGCGGTCTTCGTTGATAGCGCGAGGAAGGAAGAGCTTCTCTTTAATGATCGTAACTGGTAACACTACCTTCTCTGTTTGCCATTTAAATACATCCATTTACTAAGAAACGGAACTGTACCTCATTTATATTACGCTTGCTAAAAGATATTTTTCAATTCTTAAATAATATTTTTCCCAGAAGTGAAAATTAATACAGAAATTCATCGCATAAGGTTTATGACTTCTATTAATACGTAAGTAAAATTTATTACTCAGAGTAATAGACGTTCGATTTTTTTTTAAACTAGGAAATTATATATTAATGAAAATAATATTGAAATTAGTAAAGAATAGAAGCTCTGAGGAATTGCATTTAGCATTAGTATTATCTACCGACCGCAATATTATTTAACCTGACCCCAGTTTTGTATCTAATACACAGTATTAAATTGGATAAAAAAGACATTAATTAATGATTTCATTGCCACATAATAGTTCATTCACCCCGAGATAATTCGATGAACTTAGGGCGATCGACCTCTATGCAGCGGCACAAATGCACACGACCTGCTTTCTTCCAATATTTTCCTTTATACCTTCCTCTGTTTCAGGCTACATATTGTATACATGGAAGATATGCAAGAAAGGTAATTTATATAAAATCTGAAGCTGGATTTACACTATGTAAGGAAACAACAAAATGTGTTAAAAACTTGCCAAGAACATTCAAACTAAATGCTCTTTTATTGATGTTGCATCAGATCGAGTTCTTTTACTGATTTTATTGTCCAATTATATTTATTAAACATTCAACATCAGAACTTCTGCAATTTTTTTAAATTTCATTCAAGATCTTAACAAATCCGTACGAAATTCATCGCAATTCTTAAGTTGAAATTCCTGGCTGTTGTGTTCTGCATCCTTGAGAAGACTGCGAATACACGCATCGAGCATTTATCGCCGTCGTGATTGAAATTATTTATCACTGCGAATTACGAATGTGCTGCCATGTATACGAAAAATATATGTACGATGCATTATTTATTAACTACTTGCATACCGACAAAATTCTGCCGCGACTAACGTGTTAAATGCGCATTTAACGATTCGAAAATTATCCTTTGTTCTGCAACATTCGAATCAAATTACACTGTTTACAGTGTAGTACGAATTTATTTATACTCTAAATATGACATAGTATGTAAATGTTCAGTAATGAAATTAGTGAATTATATTTCTTCTCATAATTCGGAATTTCTTTTGACTTATTAATTAAAAATTATCTAAAATACAATTTGTAATTCTGATTTAATTACGGCTGAATAACTCCTATCGTTAAGAGTGTCCCAAAGGTATGGGCGCGAAATGGGCACCGACTTTAAAATAGGGCGCAAGCGCGCTGGCAGGGGGCTTACCAGTTGTAAACAAAACCAGAGGCGGCCCGCGTGGTTTGGATCAGTGCGGCGACGGCTCTCGCAGTTGAAGGTAGTGGTGGAGGTGTCTTTCTCCTCGTTCACATCTTCGGGCTGGAGTGCTGAACACGCGAGGTTTTATCGTTAATTTTTCGTCGATATCTTTTAATATAAAAAACGAGAAAAACGTGTCGAATTGCCGATAAAAACGGTGATTTCGCTCGTCGCTCGGTGATCGAGGTTTGAAGGGAATTGAGAAGGAATACAATTTCGTCTACAGTCGATCGCGTCACTCAAAACAATTAAGAAAGTACAAATTTAGCCGTACAAATTCATGTGATTATCTTCTCTTTGGTCAAGAAACAAAGAAGATACTTTAAACGGGATCTCAAAAGTGCAGTGCAGCTCATTGTTCCTTCGCATAGAATTTATTGATGATAAACAGGCCTGGAGAATTCAAAGGGGGATAACTAGTCTTCGTGAAGCTGCAGGTCTTACACATAATTTATTACCTCACTGCTGAGCGGGTATCGAGCCTTGAGTCGGCTGAGAAGCGCGCTGGCTCGAATAAGGGTCTGGGTCTGGAGCTGCAGGTAGTCTTACAAAAGGGTCCAGGGAACAACGTTGTCACATTTCCTGAGAAACTCGACTATTCAAGCGTTGGTCCCTAACGGAGCAACAGCGCATTATCGAAGAGCAAAGAGGACCGACACGATAATAAGGAACCAATGATAACTGGAGCGACACAAACAGACGCCTCAGTAAATCGTCGCTAAAGAATAATGCTCTAGTTCAAGGGAAATCTCGAACTATTGTTTCTTCAATTGACCACTATTTGCATAGAGAAAGAGAAAAAGCCGGTAGCGATTTGAGAGAAGCGACAAGCTGATCGAGATTAACAATCATCAAAATAGGGAGACGTTTCATGTAAACAATAAAGTCTCTAAGTTATTGCATACTCGATCGAGTTGCCAAAATTTCCGCTTGAAACGGACTACGAAATAAATTGCACTTTGCAATTCATAGACGATAGATAAACGATATCCCACGTGGAATTATCGATCGACAATTCTTACTGACGGTCCGTCGCGAGAGGCAATAAAAATGCCGCTCACTTCGACCGAGTTTTGGAACGAAACCTTGTTGATGATGAATGATACGCTGATGAACACGACAATGATTGTACCTCACGCCGCACTGAACCCGACGAAGAGGCACGTCACTTTCGCAGCTCAGGTGGTGCTTACTCTTGTGTACATAACCGGCGTCATCGGAAACGTATCCGCACTAGTCATTCTCTTTCATCGAGATAAGGTAATTGCACTTTCGTCGTACGTTGCATGCGTAATAAAACAAATGAGATAATCGATACTAATTTCAAGTATTATGACTGATCGAGATTCGTATGTTTTACTTGTATCTACCGATAGTAGTTTATATCGCAAACTGACGGAGAAGAAATAAATAGTTTTTATTGACGAGTTTTGAAGAAATCTAATTGATAATTTATAATTGATAATTTATAATCGATAATGTAAGAATGTTATGGATAGGTAGAATACTCGAAAAAATTATGGCATCACGAGAGTGTCGGAAATTCTCAAGTTTCCTCAATAAATTATCGTAGGACAATGATTTTTCTTTTAAATTAAAGTTTAAAACTTCGTGTATGAGTTGTGCGATTGTTTAGTGGATAGTCACGTTTGAGGTGGAATTATGGATTCGAGTTTCCTAACGCGTATGGCGTAATTTATGTAAGGGGTTTTTTAAACCGCTGGAACATTCAGAAAAAAATCGTAGAAACTCAATTTTGTTTTTAAATTAAAGGTGACTAATTAAGGTTTCATTTACTGTAAACGACCTCACTGAAAAAAGTATTCGAGTACGTGAACATTGTCAAACTCCATTCACTTTTAGATTTTAATCATGCCCTTAAATTTAATTTAAAAGAAAAATTATCCTCTTACGATAATTTGCTGTTTAACAAATTTGCGTATTTTTCAACACGAATTTCGTGAAGCCATAGGAAAAGTATTACTAATAAAGTCTATATACCGAATACATAGCAAGAAAGATTAATAATCCACAATCTTGAATAAAATACATTGTTCCATGACAGTCAAAACGAATTGTTTTAGAGGCGAAATCGCAAACACTTACTGATGCTAAGCTGTTTGGCGACAAACGATCTAGTCGCATTGTTGGGAATGTTGGTGCAAATGTACATCACGATTTACATCGGGAGCGTAATGTCTACGAGAGGATTTTGTTCTCTTCGCGTGGTGTGGAGGCTGTTCGGATTATTCAGTGGTTGCGTCGCCATCGTAATGGCAGCTGAAAGGTGGCTAGCCTTGACCAGGCCCTTCGTTTATCAGAAGGTAAGTCAAGATCCTAGATAAACCTTTTCGAACGACTTCGGTATTGATAGGCTCTAATCGCTGGATCCTTTCTCTAACTTAACAACGTTCGTGGGAAGTAGTCGTGCTCAAACTTAATGCACGTCCACAAAACCACTAACGTTGAACAATTTCTTGAACCATGGTTTAAAATCGGAGTTGAACACCTCAACTTTTAATACTAAAAACTTAGTTTTTATTTAATATCAACGATTCGATTGATATACATGACTTTTGCTAGTTCCGAATTTTGTAATTCGTATAAACGAGATAAACAAGAGAAAAATGTCCATGGCAACAGAGCCAAACGATCTTCATGGATTTTATCTGTATATACGTGATAAGGGCCACGTTATGCTTAGACTCTAGACTCTGACTGTATTCTATGTATACATATACGTATGGACCTGACCCATTTTTCTAACAGGCAGCATTGACTTGAATTGGTGTGAATATCAACTGAAAATGACAGCGTAGCTATTTAATGTCTTATTGACATAGCTATAATACATGATCCACCGTAAAAATATATGTACCACACCTTGCAATTGGAAACTCCAATTAAAAATTTTTGGAACTTGTTTCTATTGTAGAAAAATACTAAAAAGTCAAATTGAATTATTCAAATATTTATTAACAGTATTTTTAAAACAATAAATAATAGCAAATAAATAATTATAATAGCATAGCAAATAAGTTTAATAATTTCTTTTTCAAACATTATTTTAACTAGAAAATGTTAGTAGAGGTGAATGTCAATTAGAGATTTTTCATCATGTATAGACACTTCTCTTATAAATATTATTATGAAAAAATTCAGAATGGTTCAAAGTATCTTTTTGCTTGGAAGCAGTTGCATCATTAGCTTTTTTTATACTGAAGTGTCGTCCATTCAGATAACACATGCTCACGTATTAACAAAAATAACGATACAGTAGACCTTTTAAAGAATAATGCTCTAGTTCAAGGGAAATCTCGAACTATTGTTTCTTCAATTGACCACTATTTGCATAGAGAAAGAGAAAAAGCCGGTAGCGATTTGAGAGAAGCGACAAGCTGATCGAGATTAACAATCATCAAAATAGGGAGACGTTTCATGTAAACAATAAAGTCTCTAAGTTATTGCATACTCGATCGAGTTGCCAAAATTTCCGCTTGAAACGGACTACGAAATAAATTGCACTTTGCAATTCATAGACGATAGATAAACGATATCCCACGTGGAATTATCGATCGACAATTCTTACTGACGGTCCGTCGCGAGAGGCAATAAAAATGCCGCTCACTTCGACCGAGTTTTGGAACGAAACCTTGTTGATGATGAATGATACGCTGATGAACACGACAATGATTGTACCTCACGCCGCACTGAACCCGACGAAGAGGCACGTCACTTTCGCAGCTCAGGTGGTGCTTACTCTTGTGTACATAACCGGCGTCATCGGAAACGTATCCGCACTAGTCATTCTCTTTCATCGAGATAAGGTAATTGCACTTTCGTCGTACGTTGCATGCGTAATAAAACAAATGAGATAATCGATACTAATTTCAAGTATTATGACTGATCGAGATTCGTATGTTTTACTTGTATCTACCGATAGTAGTTTATATCGCAAACTGACGGAGAAGAAATAAATAGTTTTTATTGACGAGTTTTGAAGAAATCTAATTGATAATTTATAATTGATAATTTATAATCGATAATGTAAGAATGTTATGGATAGGTAGAATACTCGAAAAAATTATGGCATCACGAGAGTGTCGGAAATTCTCAAGTTTCCTCAATAAATTATCGTAGGACAATGATTTTTCTTTTAAATTAAAGTTTAAAACTTCGTGTATGAGTTGTGCGATTGTTTAGTGGATAGTCACGTTTGAGGTGGAATTATGGATTCGAGTTTCCTAACGCGTATGGCGTAATTTATGTAAGGGGTTTTTTAAACCGCTGGAACATTCAGAAAAAAATCGTAGAAACTCAATTTTGTTTTTAAATTAAAGGTGACTAATTAAGGTTTCATTTACTGTAAACGACCTCACTGAAAAAAGTATTCGAGTACGTGAACATTGTCAAACTC